TTTGTGCACAATGCTTATTTTATGCGTCAATTATTAATTTGTGTATGTTATTAATTTAGTTTTCAGAATTCGGCTACCGAAATACAAAGTTAACGCAGAACAAGGAGAGAACAACAAATAGCCCGTACCCGTTACAGGTTTTTGCATAAGGATAGACGGCCCAGAAAAATTCGGATTAGTGAAAAAAAATCAGGAAAAAAACACGTTGGGAGAAAAAGAAGAGATAAACATGTAAATTGCTGATAGTTCTCTCGCGGAAAGTAAGCTATTGGGCGAAAGGAATTAGTATTGAGTTGAAGCTTTTATGTCAACAACAGGAAACTTCAATTTCAACATCTTATGGATGCTGTACTTGACTTCAGATATTGTATGCTATTTAATTGCGAGATCTGTGTCGTCAATACGGAGCTCTGTGGCCCTAATTCGAGCCGTACAATTTCTATTCCTCAAGCCGTTTCATTATAAATCTGCCAAATCGCGAGTAGCGACTCTATTTGCTAGACAATCGTACAGGAATTTTGATGTCCCATCTTTTGTCTTTCAAACACAAGTCTGTGACACTGAATACTGTAATATTGTATTTCCATCTCAACCTTAACAACGTAGCCGTTTACACATTGGGTCTTGGCTCCTTAAACGCAACGACCAAATAATCTGCGCTACTATAAGAAAATCTCGCATGCTTTGCTAATGATCGATATAATATTTAGCTCAGGGATTGGTCTCTTATAATGAATATGTTTGTTAGACGTACACGATACGTACGGAACGTTAATCTTTATATCCCAGCACCGATTATAACCAGGTCCATTAGGGTCTTCGCTTCACTTACATCGTTGCGGCATGAGTAAAACGCTGGAACTCCTAAAGTATATTCTAGACACCTACAACGCATAACTAACACACGGTTGGTTTACTTTTGAAATTGCATATAGCTACACACGACCGGATATCCGTATATGAGTCAATTGCGTGCTGATAGCGGAAGTGAAAATATATCACCATCTACTTTGTCACCACATCTGTAGTTGTTCTTGCATAAACATGTCTAACTTATTCATAAATAATTCTGGTCAATATTACTTAACGATTTGTTCGTTCACTGGCAATTAGTGGAAAAAGTTACGCGATGCAACGATTTGCCCACAGTGGCTCTATATTTCACACCTCTTAATCCCAACTAACAAATTATCTCTCTCAATACGACTAGAGAGAGCTTCAACATAATGACTGCTACATACATCAAAAATGGTGTTGGACTATTATGGGAACACTCACGTTCTATGTATAGGACAAGTATCGCACTGATATTCTTATGATCCTCAGCCATGACATCCAGCAATACTTTCACTTTTGTTAGCATTCATATAAAGTATTCACAGTAATTCGCTGTCGTCCCGTCCGGCAAAACTCAAATTCGCAATGACTAATGGACGTATTCAGACTAGTTGCGCTGGGTTGCAATCATTAGCAATCGTTACATGGCGCTGGGGGTACGCAACGATGGCTAAACGTTCCGGAGTCTGATGTTGCTGCCGTCAGCGTAATGGGGGGAGGGTTTTGTTGGCGATTCGCATTGGCTTATGCCTCGAGGACCCGAACATAATTACCTCTTATGAAAAAATACAAATAACGAAAAACAGTAACACTTCGCCGGCATCAAACAAGTTGGGATGTTTGCTATTCCATAACGTGTCAAATCGTTCAACTAACAGCGATCAACCAGCAGTCGTACTTCGGCATTTTTGCGTTATGTTGTAAAGACACGAGTTTACAAACTAAGTTCGTAGACATATAATTTTCATTCATTTTTTTATATACACGTGATAGTAATGGCGATCGGAAACATTGTTTTGGTTCCCCGCCCTTTTTCTATCCACGGTACTATAGGTACATCGTTAATTATGGCTAATTTTAGCAACAAGGCTGCTTATCAATTGAAGACGCTATTGGACACGCGACTATATATTCCTATTACTCAAATATCCTATCCCCAGATTGTGTCCAAAAGGTTGCCGCCACCTAATAGTATGAAAAATATTAAATTCAATCACGTGCCTTTATCTATTCTGTATACTGAGTCATTTTTGAAATCGTGATAAACACCAAACGCAATAGGAGCGATAATCACAACGTTCCGTTAACAACATATAACTCCAAAGTTACCTATACATATTTAGTACCTTCTGCACTCTGCCAATACAATGGTATCGAATGATCATATTATTATTGATATGCGTCCGCTCACAATATGAAAGATAGGCCTGGCCACTTATCGGCCTAAGCGCCTGTAAAATAGCGGTGCAATAGCCATCGCGCAAGTCCTCTAGAATTGTACAAGAGAGTACCGTTAGTTGGGTAAAGTACATAGATGAGATGCATAGGCTCTGTCGAGAAGTATCATACATATTTCTCATCAGATACAGTTCAATATCGATTGCTTGCAGACAACAATTCCATCTGATTCTCCGGAGCGAATGAAGCAGTGTCTAACATTGGCTGGCCGACAGAGAATGCCACATACGAGAAACAATTACTAAAAGTCTATTGAGACTTGCAGACGAACGTGCGTTTTCTTTGCAAAGCCCACAAACACTCCTAAACAAACGTTCGTTTTTTTCAGCTAATAGCATATACACTTCATACAGCGTCTTTGCTTCTAGTTAGAGCCTGGTGCGTTACGACAGCATAGAAACGATCGAATGGGAGTACTTGTCTATCCAGACTCCGGTGTTAAGTCTTCAACAGTACACAACCATATGGTTGCCTGCACTATCGTAGACGGGTAACTGTCCGTAAGAGTTCCTAATACAGTTGCTATCTGACATTGTCTGCCGTTGGCGGAATGATCTGGCAACGTGTATGTGACGACATGGCCCCGTGTAGCGCCGTATTGCACACTACGCAATACGACGCTGTGCGTGCTACAGCCGGAATAGTCAATGTAAGATACACCGACATAGTCTTCTATACTACAATGTGGAAATCTTACGAACGGCATGAACAGACGTGGGTACGCAGTAACATGCGTTTTCGACGTCACGACGGCGGCGGCGGCCACGTAGAGCTGTGTTCCGTTGATCCATCAATGAGATTTATGTTGTGTACAACCGGACGCAACATGTAGCGTCTCGCTCATAATAGAGAAAAACCGTTTTAGCTCCTGGTACGACTGCTGCTGCCTTTTATGCTACTGTCGCTTTAGGAAGACGAGGTAGTCCATTTGTGGTGACAAGGAAAACAACAGCAGCAGCGGCTGTGACGGCGGCACCAGTGGCAAGTGTAAGTGTACCCCGGAACAGAACTATTCCTTCTTGCTAGCGTCGCGCAGTCGCCATCGCCGTTTTGACGCTTGCCTGTTTTTCCTTCATCCGTATTAAAGCCCGCTAGTACGCCCATAGCGAACCCCTGAGAGTTACAGCTAGCCAGGTGTTTTAACATAGAGACCCACCGTTCCGTTGACGGTGATAACGGTGGCAGCATTGGTCAAAGTGGTGGCAACAGATTTCTCTTTCTCCCGCGCAGCCACAGGCAGTAATAGCCAAGGAGGACGGTGACCAAAGGGGCGCTTGAGAATGTCCGATTTGTTGCGGAAAACCGCTGCTGCTATCATCGGAAGATCACAGCTGAACAACGTGAAATTGGACAAATCAATCGGTAGATGTCCCTGTACTCCGCTTCGGCTGCCGCCAGACCACGGCGAAAACTGCTGCCAGCCAAATATGGCGTAGTTCACTGCTATCTTCGCATAGTATAAATTGCAATATATATGTATATATATACATGTTTATGCGTACTGCAACATTTGTTTATAACAATGTCTGTATATAACCTCAACACCATACGGCGGATACCCTCATGCTACAACAGTCGTTGTGTGCATTTGTAAATTTATGTCAGCGTCCTCAGAAGGTCATAGCAATCCTATTTAGGATACTTTCATGCGTTCACGCAGATATTGAGCGTTAAGCAATACGCGAGGCCTGAAGATATGATTGCAAATGTAAGATGAAGAAAAATCTACATCTTCATATGAAACAAAGCTGCTAATTCATTACCTACAATATTGTTGGTGTATATATAAATTGGCTAAACTTCATATCTCGACTGGTTGACTGGCGGATCCCGTATTGGGCAGTTGGGTGCTTACATCTATATATAAACAGCAGTAATAATGCAGCTGGAAACGCCGCAGAAGACCACAAGCTATTTTTAGACGATAGAAGTTAGCTTCCGAACACCCTTTGATTGTCCCAGATATAGGGAACGGATGGCTGGTGCGATACAAGAAAGATGGCTCCTAGTATATAAGTGGTTACTATATAAGAAATTATGCGATGAGGGTACTGGTTAAATAAGTCACCACAGCATATAACGGTGTACATATACCATTTTATATAGTGCATTCAAAACAATAGCAAGTAGGGCTTCTCAAATCGAATTGCGCCTCTCTGGTGCGCGTTTGGTTTGCGCGGAAGCCCATGAAACTGCTTTTGGCTAGCCTTAAGGAGACATAACGATGTTGCAATGGTGCGTACATTAGTTGTACGTGAAGGGCCGGCACAAAGCTCGCGCCAGTATCTAAGCCGGGTGCCGAACCATCATTACGATAGCAGACCGAGCCAGGCCACTTCCAATATTCTCAATAATTGAACCACTTTCGCAATGACAGCTCTGCGACCCCCAACTACATCGATCTAATTTGATGCCAATGCAAAAGATTCGTACAGGATTTTTCATTTGTAGATTTGGTCGCCTTTCTAAAACAGCTGTGTTGCCCCGGTTCAAAAAAGTCATAAGTCTAATCGTCTGCATCCAATAAAGAGCAAATACTGGGTGACAAAAGGTTGTCGATATAATAGCCATCATAACATACTGGATAATATATTTTTTTTTTGTTTATAGTCTTCAGAGGGAGTTCTTGCCTTCTAGTGACAACACCACCACAAACCCTGTACCTTGTGCCTTACCTATAGGGGGTTACGCATGTCGTAAGTAAGGTAGCCATGCGATGGGTAGCATAATTGCTAACGGATACCATGATCGCTGGGCTTATCTTAGCTCATAATTTGCTGCGAGCCAGCCACTAGCATCACGCGGCATTTTTGCGATTCGGACGTCGTCGTTCAAGAGTGCCTCTGTCCAACTTGTGCTCGGCGACGAGTTGGAAGGCGCTGTCCTCTTCTTTTCGTAATGGGTTTAAATGTCACCGACAAGCTCAGCTGACGCTGATCCCACGGACCGTCACACGCCCACCGGCTGAGGGATCCGGAAAAAAAAACCAATTTTATATAAACGAAATCATTACCGCAACACAGGTAATCGCCACAGTGCGGTAGTACTGTGTGTTTCGCTATTGATCAAGGGACGTAGAAGGTGTCTGGGTTCAAATCTGTGTGTAGCACAGTTCGTTTCTTGCTGGATTACAGCCATGTGAAGACATATTTAACCATAGTACCAGGCGTCTAGCGCGAAACGTTTTTTTTGCATGAATTGGAAATCTCTTCCGTAGTTCCTGTTTAGATGGCAACTGCTGTTTGATAATACAACCACATCAGTGCACCCAATGGGATCAAACCAGCCGCCCACTCCACAATTCCTCCGGCTTACGAGCGACTAATAACCCCGCAATATTTCGAAGGCCTCTTCGAAGGCTTCCATGAATAGGCTGAATAGACACAGGCAGTATCAGAATACCTGGCTGTATGGAAATTTCTTCTCGCAATTACTTTTAAGCTTACACACCTTCTATACAGTGTTCTGTCTTGAGTTCTTCAGCCTTCTTCAAATACTCACTCTATTGAGAAACCATTAAAGGTTGGTTATATGGTCGCCATTGATAACCACGATCGTAGACTGGTACTAGTAGAGAGCTCCGTTGTTCTCTACAGCTGCATTGTTCGGAGTGCTCGAAGGTTGCTCGACAACCTTTTTACGGCGTAGAGTTGCTGCTGTCATCACCGTGTACCAGCTTAATATTATTGCCCTGTTGACACTGCACGGCACGTTGGTACCGTCTGGACCCATATCCAAACCGTCCGCAGATGGGTGACGACAGACGAACCGCTGCTCCACTGTGCAACACTTTTTAGAAATGCAATAGTGGAATTCAGCACTCGGGCAGTGGCACGTAACAACAACAAAAACCAAATCCTTCACTGGAGATGGGAATCCGTTAATGGGCCCGATCCGCTGACCCAGCAGACCCATGCTAGACGAACGCAAATGTCGACGCCAATTTTTTGTTTGTGACGTCGCCGTTCCATTGCGTTGCGCGGTCGCTTACGACCGTTAGGATACCGCTGTCTGATCTTCCTTCACTACGGCTGCTTTTGCGGCAGCTATAGTGGGTTATTCGTTGTTGTTGTTGTTGTCGTTATCGGCGTCGTCGTAACGGCTAAATATTCCCGGCTCCGATTCCTTCATGATTTGCCGTTCTTTTGTCATTCGGTTACTTATCGACTAACTAACTAGCAATGTCTGGCTCCATTCTTGCTTCTCTATTTACCATTTTTTGTTTGTTAGCAATAAGAGTATAACAAAGTAATAACTATATTGGCCAGGTATTTGTGCCCCTATGCGAATGCACGGCATAATAATTTTATATGCAACGCAGGTGCAAAACACTTTGCCGTTCGGCCCGGCTTGGTCTAGCCTGAGTCTGTCGCAAGCACCAATTAGTAACCAGTAATATTTCTAATCCAGCAATATTCCTAGCGGATCGGTTGGAGCGGTTTTCACTAGAGCTACAGATATCGAACGCCAAAATTCCGAGATCAGCGGAGGACCTAAAACGTAAGCAACATTATTGGCAAGTCGTTGTGGTATAAGGAAGCACGCCGTTAGCTCAGGGAGGCAGGTAGACACGTCACATAACACTTCGATGTATCAACAATGATAGTGACGGTAATATTTGTAGTACTGATATATTGTGTGCGGTAAGTACTTACGAATGTGTTGTCGCTAGCCGTTGGCTGGCGTTACCGGATCGACGTCGTGCTAGGGAGGGTCGCCTTCACTCGCCTTCGAACAGAAGCGAAGTTCGTCTTGATGCATGTGCGAGTTCGGCGCTATCCGCCTATTCGGTCTGTCTTTCTCGTTGCCGTTGTTCGCTTCAGAAAAACTCGTCACCTGATCGTGAAACACACGCACAATATCCGTGTGGCCTCGTTATGGTAGCCAATGCTTTACGTTTTGTTGTAGTAATAGTAACAATAGTATTTCGATAGTCGATAATCTTTTCCCGACTTTCTTTTCCTCTTGTTTTGTCGCTGTTCATACAATTTGTTCAACGTTCCAAGTAATCCGTTTCCTTCCTTCTTTCTCCGATTCCTCCGGACACTATTCAAATCGGGAAGTGGCCGCAGAGGCCACAACAACAACTAACACGCACGTAGACGCCGATTATTGTTGCACTCTAATTCCTCAATTCAATCTGCTCGACATTCAACCTACACGGTGTCGTCGACCCATCGGCAAAGTATACTCTAACACTATACACGCCACGTCCCACATGCATTCAAATGGAAATCATTCGGCTGTTGTCGTCGTCGTCGTCGTCGTCATCGTCGTTGTTGATATTCTCGTCCACTGCAGGCCCCCACCAGCCACCGCCGTAACAGCCGAGCTGAGGCACCAGCTCTGGAGCCAGCGGAATCACAACCACAAGTAAGCTCAATCAGGACGTCACCGAGCCAACTGTTAACGAAAAACACAACTGACTGTGAGTGCTGCTTTGGTATGGACGACGATCGCTTGCCACCGCTACCACTAGCAATGCTGCTGCCCTGCTAAGCGCTGGACAACAGGGTGGGATAAGGCGAGAGCTTGACGGGATCAGCAACTCTACTACCGCCACGACGGGAGCAGCGCTAGCAGAGAGCCACTGCTTACCAGCAACAGCAAAAGGAGGCAACAAACAACAGCAGGATTACCGCTAAGACCACGGTCACAGCATCATGATCGTACAGACTCAAAGCCAGGCATAGACGAACTCGTATACAGATCCACAGACGGACACTACACTCATTACAATAACAGCGACAGCGTTAACGAGGGTGGCCACGGCAGCGGCTGCAGAGACAGTTAGCACCACCACTACGAGCGGCAGCAGCACCACACCACCGTATCACTACCGTGGTAGTAGTAGTAGAGGCACAGAACAGAACACACGCGGCTAGCGGTGGCGGCGGCGGCAGCGGCGGCGCCAGCGAGAAGGAGACTTCACGAATGAGCAGACTCGCAGCGGGCTGTTTGCAGCGCCACCGAGAACAAACGGCAAAGACAATAAGTCGACAACGCAGCAATAGACAGGCAGACAGCAGGCGAGCTGAGCAGTCTTCACTGGCAGTCTTCACTGGTTATCAATCGGCGCCATTAACTTGGTCTACAGAGCGACAGAACGCAGTCACTGAATGGGGCAATATGGCATGGTGGCCAATAACAGCGAATACCGACCCTCCAACCGACAGACAAGCAGACAGATATATAGAAACAGTGTCAGCTATAGTCAGACGCACAGCCACAAGACTTCCAGCTCCACCAGCCACACAGTAGCCGCTGTGACCCAGCCGTTGAGAGCTGCTAGTCGGTTGTTTTCGCTCCTCTTGCTGCTGCGGCTGGTGACTGGTGCCCGCTGCTGATGCTAGCTTAAAGAAGCACGATAGCACAGAACGATATGGTAGAGGGAAAGGCAGGCCGAGAGAGAGGGCGAGAGTGAGAGAGAAAGAAAGAGGAGCGGAAACAGAACGAGAGAAACTGAGAGTTTTATATGTGCGTCTGCTGTGGGTGCTGCCGCTGACGACGGTAGGAAGACCAACGAACGCAGGCGGCAGGAATGACAATCCGTGACAACAACTAGATCATACTGGCACTAAAAATGAAGCAATTTCCCTTGAACGACCTCCGGCTTAGAGTTTCCCTGGACACTTCTTCGGAAACCATGAGGCAACTTGAAACAAGAGACTGAGCAGAGCCTAGTATACATATGTATGTCTTTGTAATAATAATAAGAAATATAAAACTATATATAAATAGAATAGATTTTTCGATCAAAAAATAGGTATTTACTCATTATATGGTATGAAAGATAATGAGAGTGATCATCATTAGATATGAGCAGTAATTTTTAGCATCCAAATCTATTCAGAGGAAATTAGGAAATTTTCGTCGTCGGTAGTCCAGAAATTGAAAAGTCTATATGACATGTTGTTTGTGTTGATCGTTCGTGCTTTTTTAGAACCAGCGCGAATTGATGCGAATACAAACATTTTGGTTATGGAGAAATAGTTTAAAACTTTTCTGTCCAAACTGATGGACAAAGATGGGAGATCTTGCGGGCGAAGATAGATGACAAAACTCAGAAAAAAAAAAAGACAAGGATTAGAAGGGAGAGGAAAGCATAACCCATGTGAACACGAGTTAGGACCACTGGATCTAGATCGGCAAGAAGGTTAGCAATAAATAATTTAAAAAAAAAAACAAAAAATGGCAAAAATAATAGAAGTGAGCAGTTATTAGAGGTTACAAACTGGCACGTTTTGCTAACACCTGGATGCTATAAATTGCGTGTCCGACATTAACAGTAAAAAAAGTATCGTTGCCGCTATATGCTATATATATTAGTTTCATGCAACTAACGGCTTGCAATATCTAAGTTGTTTGCATTATCTATCAGTACTAGGTATACGCAGGTCCCTAACTGCGTAAAATCTATTTAAAGGATTCATAATGGATGTAATATCATGTCTGCAGTTTATCCGACTCATTTAGCGGTTTATAGCAGTTAGACATTTATTGAATACGACAAAATCCATTTCCATTTAGCGGTACATTTATCCACGGCAGCATGTGTAATGGTTAGGAGAACTGATCCAATAAAACCTCCTAATTAAAGAGATGTTCTCATTATTTGAAAACTTCTAGGTGTCGCGTACCTTTGTCGCTTAAGCACATACGACAAAACACAATTAGGTAAGGTGGGAGAAAAGACAGGGCAAAATAAGCAGCTTAATAAGCCTAAATCAAATCTGTAATTGATACTCGACATCTCCTTAACTCAATCTGTGCAATATCTCCTCAATATCTTTATAATCAACAACTTATACATGTTTTACTAAAACTTATAACTCACGCCAGTGTGACCTATGTGAGACGGCGGGACGCAATTATTATACTCAGCAATGACAGCATCTATAAATGTATATCGTAAAAGCTAAGACACATCGGTATACACAAAGCCCAAGATAATAAAATGGACAATGCTATCATAGTATAGGTTTAAGAGCTGATCATCATTTGAATAACGATTGTTCGAGCAATCTGAAAGCCTTGCGAGATTATAATATAGCTTTTCTAAATCCTGCAAACTAGTTAATTCCGTAATAACTAATCCAAACCTGTTTAGTTAATATATTCAATCATTGGAGAAACCTTTCTAGAAATAATGTTCGAAAAAGGCTTAGAAAAATACGCGAGTAGTTGTTTAGTTGCTCAATAGGCCAAAGTCAAAAAAAGAATTCTTTCAATTAGGTTTCCGCGCGCCGACTCCTCATTCCCGAGGCACCGCCTGCCCGTTTTTCCTTTTTTTCGTATCACTCCGCCAGTGGTTTCGAAGCTACATTCGGAGCCTCACCTAGACGGCGGCAGCTTTTCTCCCTGTCAACATATTCTCCGTCTGCTAGGAGAATAGCAGTGCGCCAGATGACCAGGACTCCCGCTGCTTTTGCAGTCGCCGTTATAGCCCTCACGAGCTCCACCAGTAGCGCTGTGCGCGACCGTGGAGCCGACAACAGTCAAATAGAATGAAAAGCTGCTGCCAGAAAAGTCCGGTAGCTATTATTTTTGTAAATTTATATATTATATATAGTATATTATTTTTGTAGTCGTTCTTATTCTTATTGTTGTAACCAGTGCTGTTACTGTTATCGTTGAGTAATGTCATTGTCTCATCAGAGTTAAATCTATTGTATTGTGTCTATTGTAAAAAAAATGCTTCTTCTCTGACTTTTAACAGTGAAATAGTTATTGGTGTTCGATTTTAGGCAAAGCAACAGACTCTCACAGGAAAAACGAGCCTTTGAAAAGAGATACCCGAAAAGTGTACCTAGACATTAGACACGGGACTGGTGCATCGTACAAAGCGGACAGACTGATCATCACGGAAAAAAGACTGTGTACACCGACAGGTGTATTAGTTCGCATTGACGGTGAGTTCGTCAGTGAGTGTGGCGACGTTGTGCGCCTATGATTAAATAGCTGCCATGGAATATTAGCCTGCATTTGGTTCAGTCAGTACACCACAAATGACCTCTTTTTGCTACGCAGGATATAACGATCAAGGCGAAAAAGGGATTTTAATTAGAGGGGCCCGAAAGAAGTTATACTATTCCGGGAATGGGCCATCGTATATCGATGTCATTATCGTGCACAACAAATGGCTCACATATTCATCGTCTGCACGGCTTTAAAAAGGAACAACAATAGTATTGTTTTCAACATAAGATATTCAACATAATATATATATATAAATATATATTTAGACTAATTCTAATCTGATCACGCTAATCTTAATTGTGCCAGATGGGTGAATTAGATCCACTATTCACAAAGGCGCTTCGACTCTTGCATTCGCGTTCACGGGAGTCCGTGGATCAGCTCGCGCAGTTAATTGAGGACGTAGCAGCGCAAAGACACAATAGCGGAGGTGGTCAACCTCAGGCTGCCGTGATGGCTATGCTTAAGGTGCCACCTCAACAAAGCCACCAACAACATCATCGTTCGGCCGTTTTAGGAGCTCCCTCTCACGCAACGCAACAGCCCGCTGCGCACCGTGAGTGTCTGTCGCTTTAACCCTTGACGGATCTCCGCTAGCTGAAAGATCTGAAAATATCGTATTTTTCTTATCACAGTAACCTCCGGTGTACAAGTTAACTGTTAATTTGCCTTCTATTTGTTATTCTTGCCCTTTATTGTATCGGCTTTATCAACGTCGACCATGTATGTCTCATTTACCTGATGCAGGTGACGAGCGTAAGAAATCTGGCAGTTCCTCATCATCATCATCATCATCGTCGTCGTCGTCGTCGTCTGAACACAAGCGGAGCGGTGATCGTGACCGGGACCGCGATCGGGAGCGCGATAAAATGAAGGAACTCATGAACAAAAAGCCTTCGGCATCATCGTCTTCATCATCGGCGGGGGCATCATCGATGTCTGTTTCATCTGCGACTCTCATGGCGTCGTCGAGTGGGCCCGGCAGCACTGGCCTGGGGATTCATGGTGGGAGCATAATCTCCAGCTCGATATCAGCGGGTTCAGCTAGTACGACCCTTATGCCAACATCGCCTTCAGCTAAAGCGCTCCCACAAGGCACTCTTACCCGGCCGCCATCCGCGTCATCGAAATCGTCGTCATCGAATTCATCGTCGTCATCTTCATCAAGCAAATAACACCAAAGTGTGCTTATTCTTACCTTACTGAACATATACGATACTATTTCATATTGTGACATGTAATTTTTTGCCAATGGCAATTGGTTATATATTACTTCTTAGTAGGCTAAGTACTATTAGTCCGACCCATCACAGTGCAGTGGCTCTACGACTATACATTATGACATATGCATGTGTACTAAATTAACCTTGTATCTAGGCACAGCGAGTTCAAAGAAGGTAAGAAATATTATTGTCTAACGATTTAATATAAAATAGAATAAAATGTAAATATGCGAATCGCAATAATATTAAATTGTACGGAAAGTATCCGATGTGGGTAACTGGTCTAGCTACAACGCGCATGTCTAGTGCAAGAAAAGATCGTTTGACCAAAATGTCGTAAGAGAGATGTATGAAAAATACAAAACACGTACATTTTTTACAAAAGATTCACCACTAGCTTTGAATCCGAGGCAGTTGTACTCTGTTGGGCATATGTACACAATGTGTAAATAAAGCATTCATTCCTTGTAACACATTTATCGGTTCGTAGAATTTCTGTAAATAAGAATGCAAAAAATATCAGTATCAGGCGGCGAACTAGAAGAGACGAGATCAGAGGTTAATACAGTGCATAGAAGCATTTTTGCCATTTTCTTCCGTCGTTAGTACCTCAGCATTAATTCGAGTCGGTCAGCTTTACTGAATGCTGAAGTAATTTACAAGGTAACACTCACGAGACTTTTACTTTAGTATATTCAAAGTATTGACGCATTACTGATATTTAATTCAATCTCCTGTGTACAGCCACGGTAATTAACAAAATAATTTATTATTAGACCTACCAATCACGTTTGAAAAGGAAATTTGTGAAACTTATTTGATTTTATCGATATTTTTCAGGTTTAAGTTTTTCAGGTATATTTTCCCATACCATGCATTTACGGTTCAACAAATAAACTGACGTTAACGTAACGCATGCAGTAACCGTCCGTTTTCCTTGACACTAACACACAATGCTCTTCTTTTGAGCTGCACCGCTGTGCAGTCTTCATTCAGATTCTGATTTATGATTACAGTATTTCTAGCCGAACTTTACGCTGACTACTCTTTGAATACAACCAAAAAATCCAAAAAATAAGTACACCTCTCAGCTTAATAATATACATTTTATTTAAACAAGCACATCTGAACCCAGCAATATTCCTGTTTATTTGTCCGTCTCCGAGTGCCTCATAGATCTATTTTATACAGATTCAAAAGACCTTTGGTACACAACAAGGAGACTTGAAGACCTTGTGTACACCGATTACAAATGTCTATATACGTGTGCTTGTCTATGTACAATATGTATATTGTATATATGTGCTTAGGATGCAGGAAAATAAATTTGGTTGCCAACATCTCTACAATTTTGTACATTTCATAATTCGTCTAATGCCCTGGTGTACCTATGGCAAGCTGCGGCAAGCCGATTACATCAGATAAACGATGCTTTTTACTTAATTGTTGATATTTGTTAAAATTTAATTATTGACGTGCATCAGGCTGATTTATTCTCCGCCTGCCATACACGAGCAATCGGACCAGGTCATTCGTAGCCCAGCGAATTTCTAAATACAACCAAATTTGTATGACAGGGATGCAAGCATCCATAAACTGATGCCATTGTGGAAAAAATTGTTAAGCTAGAGGTTTTTCAAACAAATCAGCAAAAATATGTTCGTATGAAAGGTTCTCCTTATATCGTAGTTTTTTTTTTATTAGGTTAGACATTTTTGAAATGGTCAAGTGATATGCCCGTGAATACAATAACTACTACCGGAAGTACTAATACGAGCAAGGCATAGGAACTGCTCGTCCTCGGTCGACCAACTCCTTAACATACGATGAATTTCATGACGCATATAATTATAGTCTAAAACATCCTGGGAAACGATGATATGTTCGAGGAGTGTGATGGAACGTTCGCAATTGTCGACGTCGTATGATCCAGCCGATTTTCCTGTTCACGGTATTTCCGAAGCTGCTGCTCGAGTTGGACAACGCGCCGATTTGATGTATCAGCCTTGGCCCTCATTTTTGCCTGTTCTTCTTTCAGCTCCCGATTCTCCCGCTGGAGTTTGCCAACGTACTGAATCCGCTGTTTATTGTTCGAGTGCCCGACAAGCCGGCAAATCTGCTCTTGAGTCTCTGCTAAAGAGCTCACATAGGCCGACTTCTGTTTCTCCGAACTCTCGATTCCAGTCTCGAGTGCGTTCAACAGCTGGGTGACACTCTCGAGATGGTGTCGAAGCCTATCATTTTCAGCCTGTAATATTTCGACACGATCACCACTGCCATCGCAGTGCGAGTTAATAACGGCTAATGTGAAAGCTGCATGCGCCTCATTCACGCGACGTTCCTCGTCTAGGTGCTGTTGAACATATATGAGCTCTTGCCGGCATGCGGCCACATCCTCCTCTAGCATCAAGACACTTTCTCGCAGTTCGCCAGTCTCAGACTCCAGTTCTCGGCATTTGTGTGAGAAGAAGTCGGCTTCGGCTTTCGACTGCTGAATTTCGGCGTTGCTATCAGCCAGCTGCGTCTTGAGCGCTTCGCAATCTGAAAGCATTAATTGCCGATCATTTTGAAGTCGTTCAATTTCGTGCTGCACGGCACTGACGGCCTCCCGTTTCTCGCGATCAAGCTTCTCTTGAAGCTCATGAAGGCGCACAGTTGTTGAATCTTCAATCTTTTTACGGTCTGCTTCGAATGAAAGCTTAAGTTGAAGACACTCCTCGTCATGAGTTTCCTACAAAAATGCGAAAGAATAAAAATGAACATGTAAGTTAGTTCAGTAGGAAAACCATTTTGGTATCCATATAAGTGTAATCAATCTGGCGTTGTGATAGGAATCAGTTTTTACCATAGTAAATCTTAACCCAAAAAAGACACACATAATTAATGTTATAGTCAAAATTGACTAAAACAATTTGCTTCGTTATGCTGCTTAAAGATAGAACATCGTGATGCGTAGAAAGGACATAACACCTACCTTTGCCTTCTGAAACTGTTGCTCAAACAGACAGCATTGCATCTTTGCCTGGCATAACTCACTATCATGCAGCTCTTGTGCTTCTGACATCTTTTTTTCGGCTTTCTGCAATTGCTCCTGAAGGGAGTTTTTTACGCGCCCCCAGGTAGCATTATCTTCTTCGAGCTCGGTCACACGCTTCGACATTGCAGCTTTCACCTCCTCGGCAGACTTTAGCTCCTCGCTGAAACACAACCACACCAATCTGACCAAAGTCATCGACAAGCGAGTTTATCCTAACAACCCTATCTACTCCGTACAAGTTTTGTCAATACACCAAAAGCAAATATAAGTAAAAGCTGAAATGCATTCAATTCTATGTAATGTTGAAAGCTTTCGTGTTGGCGTAGATTACAGATTTCGATATTCCGAATCTGTTCACTACAAAAGAAGGATTATGGCAGGTTACGCGCGTATAAGAGTGGTGACCGTATTACGTATGTTCTAATTAAGGCTTCTTGAAAGCTATGCTACAAGATATTGCCCTAAATACTACACTATGCAGCTCTGTAGGTCGAAATCAAAACATGAATAGCAAGCCATTTGGGAGGGAACGGTTAACGCGGGTGGAGCTTCTTTTCTTACTTCAAATTCTTCTTCTTGGTAGGACGCTCGGCCGCCGTAGTACCAAGCAAACAAGACTCCAGCAAATAATCCAATTCCGTTTTGGATAAACCTACAATTTAGCAGTGTCTGAGTTGAACCTTTTCTCAATGCGACTTTATGAAAAGCCGTCTAGGTGCAACTTAATAGCTTTAAGAACTACAAGAACTTCTGAGTCCTCGCATGTCACAAGATTTTATACCAATATGTAATTATGTTTTTTGGAAAGCCACTTAACCGCTTTTATGAAGCCTTAAGCATTATGCAATGCGACTCTATCGAACTATGCCAAAAATCAAATTCGGAAACCACAGCGTTTAAACGAAATGCCAGTATCAAACTAAAAGTTATAGGAGTGGTAGCACAATGTGTTGACTAAATCATTCGTAATGCTACTTTCGTTACACCGTCATTTTAATACAATTACGCGTAACCTACCGTAATGCGTCGATCTCAGAAGTTTCTTCTCGGACCTTCTCGAGGGCTCCTTTAGTCTGCTCAAGCTCAGCTGTTGTGGCCAAATGAAGCAGCTTAATTTGTGAACATTCCTGGTCGATGGCGCGTTGACGTTCACGGGCCGCTGCTAGTTGGTAATTAACGCTTTCAAGAGAAGCTTCTAGATCAGATTTGGTATTTTTCAGGGCCCCAACCTCCTCCTGAAGTTGAGTTATCCTGCAAAAAATAGTTTCGAATCAAGATACATGGGATAACAATACCCATATATATAAAAAAAAAATATATATATATAATATAATATATAATAAATATTATTTATTATTACTTTTGTTAGTATTTATTATTATTATTAATTATAGAAATGTATACTAAAAAATAGATTTGTTTTATGTAAAGGGCTCACGGCTTTTGCAAAAATCGTAAGCCTTTTACATAAATCTAATCTTTCTGTTCTTTTATCTTTTTAGTAATTCCATTAATTTTTAATCTGTTTTATCTTAAGTCTTGATAAGTGGCTCTTGCTACGTAATGCATATGGAGAATATAATGCTTTCAAAGACCAAACAAAACCTGCAGTACAATAATTCTTACTACTATACTTGCGTACTCATTAAATCTGTTCTGGGCCAGCTCCTTCACTTCTTGGCAAATGGCCTCCATTTTCTCAACCTCAGCAGTGATCTTTTCTTCAGTTGCCTGCAGATCTGATATTCTAAATTCAAGTGCCTCTATTCTATTATCCTTCTCAGATGCCTCGTGACGAAGAGACGTCATATCCGATTCCTGTTCGCGAATTTGTTGTTGCAGCGAAGCTGAAAGCGGAAAGCCATGAGCAACGTACGGCGGACAGCTTAGTCTAAAATAGCCATATCGACGAATATGATATGTGATAAATGAAATGAAGTTAACAATAAATAGTACTACAAAGCAAGGTAATATTAGACGATGTACTTGTACGATGTAATACAGATAATACATACCTCGTTCCAGCTGATGTTTCTCGAGCAGTACGTCCCTCTCCTGTACCTGCCTTTCAAGGGTATGCATATTGTTAGCAGCAATACGAAGTTCAGTCTCTACTTCAGCCTTTTGTAAGGTAAGCGCCTCATATTTCCTCATTGCCTCATCAAGCTGCCGTTCAAAGTTTTCCTGACCTTGGCGGAGCTGACGTTTAAAATCGTTTTGGCATTCGCCCCCACTGCGAACCTGAGCTTCGACCTCGCTTTGAAGCCTTATTACCTCCTGCTCAGCGACACGCAATTGGCTTTCTGTTTGGTCTTGCTTTGCTTTAGCTAAACGTAACTGTTCCTCCATTTGACAAATATCGGCCTTGCGCTTCTTGCATTTATTGCGCAAATCTTTCAGTTCGGCATCGGCAGTACTAGTCTTCTGCTCAAGGAAATTATTCTTTTGAATAAATTTGTTCAAGTCGTTGCCGGTTTGATTCAACTCTTTACTAAGGCGATCACGCTCTTCTTGGCTTAAACGAAGCGCCGCTGTCGTTTCTTTGACCTTAAACGACATTTCGTTGAGACTTTCCTTCACTTCCCGGAGTTGGTTTTTCTTAACGTCAATCTGAGCCTACAATAAATACGTAAAAGCTAATAATTATTGAATTGAGCTCCCTTTGTAACCATCAAAACTATTAATAAATTTTACAAGTTATTTACATCCCGTACCTTGAGTTTCGTAGTATCGTTATCGAATTTCGAGCGTATTTCTGATGAAAGAGCGGTCTGCTGTTTGTAGCAAGTTTCAAGCGCGGCCAGTTGACTCTTTGTTTCACCAAGCTCCGTAAGAGCAGTGAACAGCCGGTCATCCTTATTCGTCGAACTGCTATTTAACGAGTCTACAATAGCGTTCGCTCGGTCTAGTTGTACTCGAAGCTCTGCATCCTTGACTTCCGCCGCCCGTACAATTCCTTTGAGATGACCAATTTCGAGGGCTGATTCCTGCACCTCGTGGTTTAGACGTTCACGCTCCTGCTCAAGTTCTTCGACACGTTTTTGGTGCTGCAAGTCAGAGATGATCGTGTGCTCTACTTGGAATATTTTGCCTGGATATTAACATATTTATACTTATAAAATCTTACGTATTTGAGTGCTCGAATTTTGAACGTCAAGCTATTCATTTGAGCAGTATCACTATGATAGCACCTGCCAACATTTCATTTCAATGCCACACTGTTCTCTGACTTCGTACCTCAGCAAGGGAAGCTTCCAGAGCGGATTTTTCACCTTCGAGAGCTGTGATCCGAGGATCTTCCGTCTGCTCCATCTCGACGATAATTGTGCTCATCGTATCCTTGATTTCGCCTTCAGTCATAGACGGGCGGCTTTCATCTTTCGTTTGATTCTTTTCCTCCTACAATGGGATGAAAATTTCCAAGATTATTCCTGTCGTCGCAAATGATCACAACAAAGGGAATGAGTTTTTAAACCTAACTGAGGTGATACAAAAAAAGGGCTAATGCAAACATTTTTATTACAATAATGAATGGAATTTGTAAGCAACGGTTGCTTACTACCTGTGCTGCTAATTATAGACTAGTATTCTATTAATACTTTCAAACTGCATTATGAGTCTCGTGCTGTTCGTTGCTATAGTACACGATACGCACTTACGGATGACTACTTAAAATACGAGAAAACGACCTGCACATGCCTGTAAATACTTCTGTATATCCTGCGAAATATCTTTGGGGAGTTTATGTGCAGGAATCGATTGTGCGGACACACGACGAAGATGCTTGTAGGCATCGAAGAGAGTCTGGTAGCGAGTTAGTGATGTACACCGATCTATCCTCATTCGGGAAATGATCTGATCCCGTTCTTGTATCTGCTGCTCGAACGTACGCATTCGATCCAGCAATTTGTTGGTTCGGCTTATCGGAACTGCAGGCCGCTTAAAACTTGAACTGGAGCCCGTGGTAGATATCGAACATGTTGAAAGATTTGAGTCCTCGCGACGAAATCTGTGAAAATTCACCAGACGATTTGACGTTACTTGATTTATCAGTGTTTTTAAACGGGCACATACTTTAACTGAACAACTGTTGTCGCTTCTAGGTGGTAATGGTTCTAGGTGATGGCCGGTTTGATGTTCTATTTGCGAATGATGTTGATGACGGCGATGAGGTGCTGTTTTAAAACGTAAAAAATAATAAGCTAACTAGCGCCGATCTACTACCAGCCAAATATGTAAAAAGTTTTTTCTAGGGGCATATGTAATTGCCTACTCGAATTCAGATACTACATTGTAGTTCCAACAGTACACCTCTACCTGATCACAAACTATAAGCTTAATCAGTGCTCTCCAATAGAGCGCTTTAGTTTGCAAAAGTCTGCTTCTTAGGACTTTTAGTACGTGTAGATGAATATAGATTATTAATGCATGGAAGTCAACGTACAACCCTGCAAACGATACACGGTTGTTACAAAGATTTCAGCACTGGTAAACTCCGACTGAAATCGATTGTTTGTTGCTTGGAAAGGCGGACATCAAATTGCTCTTTTATATGGAATTTAGATGCAATATTCGGAAAATGTCATGATTGAATATAATCGACTTACCGTTCTCCTTGTTTGCCAAAGGCGATATTGCCTAGAGTAGTAGGTTTTGTGTCCTTCGGATTATAGGCCCCTGGACCTGGCGTTATAACGATTGTGTCAAATAGAGTCTGACGTGGTGCTTTGCTGAACATTTTTGAACCTGAATGGTGGCGACAAGAAGATGCATCGTTGTTCATTATGATTACACCAGTATGAGGCGTCGCAGATACTATTTCCAAAAACTTTTTCTATATAATGGATACAAACACAAAATACTGTCATAAGTGGTAACGAGTTCAGATCAGCCGTTATCCTAGTGTGCTTCTCTGGTATATGTAATGTGTAATGAAGAACAACCCCATCTGCTGAATAAGTCTGAGATTATAAATGACCCGACTTTATACCTTGAGCTTGAGATAGTAGATCATCCGGCGTTACACCTTGAGCCTGTGACAGTTAATAAATTATTCAATGTTATATTTTGATCCTGAGACAATTATTAAATGATTCTGAGCGTGAGATACGAGGAGACGAGAACGATTGTCCTGGGACGGTCATGCATACCAAAAATAAGATAATATTTCGGTGACAAAATCATCTAGTTCACCGAGTTCGCTAACTTTGAGCAAATTTTACTTTGTTTTTCAAACTGGTAACTACAGTATGTCAAATGATATACCTGCAATATACTACGCATGAATGAAGCAAAGAAAACGTAATCTTGCTGTTTTTGGAAAGCATTATAACAACAGATGTTATTGACTTCCCATACCAAAGTCAACTTATGCGTTTATTCGTATTGACTACACATTGAAATTATATTCGTTAGACCCGCAATATAAAAACTATACAATGATGATTGTTCTCATGTTTAATAGAACGATAACATAGTCTTCAGTTAAACAGCACATTATACTGCTCTTCTGCTGTTTACTCGTTGCCAAATATAATAAATATTGTTTTATGCAGTAAACATATATCCTCTGGAGAAGTATAGCATAACAGTGGTTCCCCAATTACTAGGAACTAAAATGAATAAGCCTTGGGGGCGCAATAAACATGAACACGCTAAATATCCTAAGGACAAACAGAAAAACAATTTCTTTTCCAAACTAGATCCACTTACCTGGGGGTGATACGGCAGTTTTAACGGTTAGACAGGCCTCAACGGCCGTGAGATCAGATTTTCAATTCACTTTTGATAAATCAGAATCTGCTGAAACTTTCATGAACGCCACTGGAAACGCAAGATGCACAAAGATAATGCCTCTGTTACGAATAGTCAGTAAGAAAAGGTGATACTGCTAAAAAGAACTAAACAAACAGCAATTGCACAAACCTAACCATCATGCAAATCCACCACAACACAGCGACAGTGGCGATTTAAATGTGCCCTCTCCCATGGTTGCTATATACCGTCACCGCATGCAACTGCCGTGAGCGTGCGGGTCTAACGATTTAAATTTAGCGCCGTTGAAGGAAACGCGGATTGCTGCATAAAACATATATGTGTTGTATGTAACATGCATCGTAAAGATTTAATTATGATCCACACATAAAAATAAATGTCATCGCTTCTAATAATTTTTTTCGGAAACTGTCTATAATATAATAGGGGTCTTCATCGTTGAAGACCACCGTTTTAGTTTCTCAGAATTAGCTCTAACAAAGACAGTATTCTAGGTCAACCAATCGTATACTCACCATATTACGCTTCGACTGTCCGTAATTATTTCGATGCTAGAATTTCAAAGATGCATTAGAATATATAAACGTGCAGCTTTGATACACCTACTGCAATATATACTTTTCTCAATGGTGTTGGATTTTAGGAATAAATGCGATGAATCCATGTCAAGTTTCGGTGCATGTAACTTAATTGTTATCGTTGACGAAAAAATTATGTAACAGTCAGGAATTTCACGTTAACTGATCTAGCAATAGTATGGACGGTTTTTTTTTGACAATCAATAAAATGGTTTTCATCATACAAAGGTAGCAAGCTACAATGGTAAATAGCAAAACAACTATTCCATATTGAATTTGGATCTAGTGATGAAAATAACAGACCGTGTATTACGATAGCTTTGAATTGATTTCTTGAAGGTTCGTTTAGCTGGAATGAAGTTAAAAGTTCGAGGATGAAACGCAGTGTCAATACCATTCTTTGGTGGTTTCTACCCATAATTAATCTGATGTTACCATATTATATACCATGCATTAAATCTTGAAATTTCTTTCCCTGCCTTTTAATATAGCTGTGTTTGATTTAACGTTATCTAGTTTCTTTTTAGTTCATGGTTCAATACGATTCTGACTAAAAAGTTTTTTTCGCAATTCTAAACGTCGACGGTTTTCAAAAAAAGTACAAGTGATAATTTGAAAGATAACCACAGCTGGAATAGGTTATTGTTAAAACGAATCTTGGTTAACTTTCCGATTGAGAATTCAAATCTGCCGTACTCAAATTCTAAAAATTCAAATTATGCAATAATTACTCCGCTCCATCCCATATCACATGTCGATTACAATATCAAAACCAAGCTATTTTTTTCTGTGCGACTGAGCCGCGGTCACTGAACAGAAAACGAAACCGTCATAGGTCAGTATTTTAAGCTATTAAATGTGCTATTTTGCAACCCTAAAATTTGAATGTTTTGAATTTTCCATCCTGAACGTGTTCATATGACATTAGACGACGAAGTCTAAATATCGGCTCCTATACTATACACATCATAGCCATTAATAATTTATAATTTAACAAGAATAATAGAATTACAGTAGCACATTTAAAATACAGTATTTTATTATAAATAGGCTAAAACCAAACTCGTTTTTTTTATCGAAAATCTCTTTAAATCAAAAAAGGTACCTCTGTACATTCTACGCTTCCAATCTAATAATTTCCAACATGGTAACATATACTTATATAGACCTATGCCTATAAGTTTCTAAGTTATCACCTTTACATTAGTAATGAAACAAGGCTAATTTGTTCTCACATACTGTCAACGGTAGTCCGTAAAAGCCACCTTCCCAGTAACAACCTAAATTTGTAAATTTCTTGCGGCAATTTATGTCCACAAAGTGGTACGAGCATACTAATTTTATGCGTACTGTAGCCTTCTGTAATTTTACCAATTCAATCTATTAAAAACAAATAGTTTAGCTGACCAACATCCAGGTCGTATTTTTTAATAAAGTTGCAGTTGGTTAATTAGATTTAGTCACGTTTAGAGTGACGAATCTGTGCATTTCTTATTCGATGAAATTTTAGGCATTGCTATTTGCATTATAATACAATATGGTTCTATTGGCGACGAAATTTCTATGTACAAACGATGTAATGAGCTCAAACACTAGTGGTAAAATGTAACTCCGGGAATTGACTTTGTGTTCGATTAATCTTCATCGTCGCCACTATTTGCCTCGCTGTCTTGCTTGTCCCAGTCGCGCATTTTCGAGTTGGTCATGAAATCGTCTCGAAGAGCTTCCCATTTGGACGTTAACTTAACAGAACCGTTCTTCTGTTTTTTCTCCTGAATTTTGTTTAACGTCTCCATAAATCGGCCTTTTTTATACCTTCGCTCATCTTCATCTGACGACTCGTTATCGCGTTGCTTGCGCTGTGTCCGAAGCATCGAAATAAACGCAAAAGGGTCGAGTTATTTATTTATTATTTAATAGCAACTTATTTACATAAGTTGCTATTCTGTTGTGCATCGACAAAACGTGTGCGATAAGACAAATAGTAAGTACAGCAATGTCCAGAATATAACTGGTTCGCAGGTCGTTCAAATTGTAGAAACACTCGATCATGTGTTATTTTGTTCTTTCTGATCAGAAGAGATGCTGCTGTTCATAAAGCAGAATAAATCAAACTTCATTTTAATTTCAAAATTAAATATATCCGTAGAATAAATCCGCAAAGAAGTTAAGCACTGCCATTAAACATTCAATACACTAACCTTTTCTTCTTGGAATTCGTTGACTGCATTGAACAACTGAACCACTCCTTTTGTTGCCGTGCGGAGCAGAACTTTTTCGTATGGGTCGCCTGGCTGTGGTACCAGCAAATCCATTTGCATTCGCTGACGCCGAAGTCGCTGCCTCTCAAGGGCGCTTTTTTTCCTCGAGACAGGACAATCTTCATCGTCAGTAGAAAACTCATCATCGGTCTTTTCCTGTTCATTCAGCGATGGCAGTTCTTCTACATCAACTAAGTTACCTGTTATTTTTGAAAGCAGCTTTTTAGTTTTATTGTCAAGAGCAAATTCCCACAAAAGCACATGGAAACTGATGAAAATATCCGTATTTCGACCTCCTTATAAGTCTAGGTCACGTAATACATTGTTTATCTTTTTATTTATTCATGTAAAATACACATTGCTTACACGACAAAATATCGAGTATTTTCCTTTCCAGGGACTGCGCCACACAAAACAAGCCTTGTTGTAGAGTGCTGAGTTTTACGTTGCAAGGAAGCTGACAAATAAAGCTACATAAAAGGATTCTAGATAATAGGCACATGATTGGTTCGTATTCCCGATAGCTGCTTTTGTATAAAGTGTAGCTGATGTACCTTCTTTGTCCACAATCTTAAACGATTTTCTTCGAGAATGGTGGCTGTCTTTAGAAGCAGCTTTGGCATTTAATTTCTGCGCCTTATGTTTACGCTGTTGTTTAAGGTCGGCGTCCTTCTTTGCTTTGGCAAGGACTAACGTCTTCTTGGTTTTCTTTATCTTGGGGTTCTGAGTGAGAACTTTGGCGAAAACGCTGGCCCAGCTTGGATTGCACTTTAGCAACGATTTATTTTGTTCCACCTGTGGACCAACAGATGACAGAAAATATGATGAATTAGTACAAGATACATTGCACACGATAACGCCCAAATCAAGTTCTGCGTACGTATTTACAAAAACTGTACAAAACAAAGACGTCCTAAAGATCGGCTATTATGAACGAAATCGTAAGTATTTTTTCAGATGGACTTCACACAATTAAAAGCTACAACACACATTTGTATTGCAGGATCATTCCAAATGTGCCTTTGTTTAGCGTATTGGTGGAATTTTTGTTGAGAAATTTCGGCCCAATCCATAGAGAGACATCCTTATTGATGGACGTAGTCTTTCGAACACGTTCTAAGGGCTATTTTTACTTTATTGACGTAGGCAATACTTCTTAATTTCCAGTATGTTTCAACTTACGTTTCAATGCTATAATTCGAGCCCTGTCTGTGAATAGGACAAAATTTAGGGAAGATATCTAAGGTGAAACAGCTTAACTTTATAGACATTCTAAACTATTGTACACACTTAGCTCACACCCTCAGTAACAATTTAGCATGAAATAGTAGTTCACGATAATCGGATCATATAGACTACCCGAAGTCGAAAGGGTTTTCCCTCATAACCGACCTGGTCATCCTCACTGTCATTTCCGGTACGTAACGTAATGCCAGTGTCCGGAGAATTCACTTCTTGTCCGACGATCGCCATCGTAGCACACGTGCCTGCGCCGTATGGACAGTATTTTCAAAAATATTTTCTTTGCTTATAAATCCTCTCCGCCTTATAACGAATAACATTTCTTTCGTTTCACTCCGTGTCTGATCTACCTAGCAGACGACGCTAGAAAAAGGTGGGAGAAGATTCACCCATTAGACAAAGATATCAAACAAAATAGCGCAGAGACCGTGGGTTTATAGCTGATTGATTATTTTTTCTGACTATCCTTTTTATGACATTAAAACCATTAACAAAACTAAACTTCTCGAATGCAAAAAGTGCGCCAAAAATGCTATTAGTAACCATTATGATATATAGTAGTTTTATTTGTCTCCCGCTTAAATATACAGAAGCGCCCCTTTTAATACATCCAGAAACGCTGAATGTCCGTATAACAATAACTATTAGATTTAATACTTCTGAAACTTTTGTACAAATTTCTTGAGGAGCTCACAACACCTTCTCCTAACATGGCGCAATGACGTTATTTACTTGCTGCTGTGAGTCATTTGCAGTTTAGCAGACGACGAACGATAGATTCCGGACTGCGGCATAGGCACAAAGAGGAATCATTCTGATAGCACAGGAAAAACACAATGCTGTAGTTACTGGTTGCAAAGCTGTTCTGTATGGATAAAAGGTTGGGCACGTTAGCTGTTTTTAAGGAAATTCAAAAAACTACGTTTTTTCTCGGCGGAGAGACATTGTTATACAATGGGGCACAAAATTCGTTCTTTTTCAATCTGTTCTGCTCGTTTCAACGTCTAAATTTCTGGAAGCGTCGAACCGCCGCTATTCCCGGCGATGGAGCAAGTTATGCTCTATGAGTCTACGGATGTAACGATGAAAGCGGAAATAGCGGTAAATACCCTATGAACATTTCGATATCGAAGTAGCTATCCTATACCAATAATTATACGATATATTAACACAGATCCAAGCAAACAACCATAAGCACTTATTTACCTTTTTTTAGATTGAGACTAAACGAATGCAATTAGTGTTTTATTCGATGTTTGATATTGTTACATTGTCAGGGAGCTAAGTAACGATACTTATGGGCCTACGTAAGCTCTATAGGTTTAGGCTCCCCGATTGGTGGTCAACAACTTATTACTATAGGTGTTTTTGCGAATGTAGCTTTTTATGAGTCAGTAATAACAACAATAAAGAACAGCGGCCCACGCAGGGACTGAATCTACGACCTTCTCGTTGTTAGGAATACACTTCAACCTACTGAGCTAGTAGCTCTGTAATGTCATTAACATAGAACCGCATTTGGCTAGAATGTACATATTAGGTGTCTTTGACTACGACGCAGAGCGGTCCTAAGCTACTTACTATACTGCACCAATTTCATGTAATTTTGATATTGTTTTTCAGGGAGCTCCAACAGAATCTTTGGTGGATGTAATTTGCGTTACCCCACCTTCATCGATGGCCATCACAAAGTTCTCGCGTCGATCAAAACAGTACTCTCATACAAGAGTGGGTAGTCCAAATTTCCGGTGAACTGTGATAAGAGTTCATTAGCTTGATAAGAATAAATTAAAAACAACAGTGTTGTTTACTGTATCAGGATTAATGAAGGACAAATAGCTTTTGTAAAAATCCATGGAACGAAAAGTTTCCAACCTAATATCTGTCGAAAATGAAATAAACCCAAATCTCAAATACTCGGTAATGATTGCTGATGACAGTTATGGAAGGGGTAATGTTGGTCAACGAGCATTTCTAAAAACATTGTATCCGTTGAGCTGAGAGAGTGATGTTTTGATAATTTGACAGTGAAATTCCAAGAACTGCCCTGGGTTGCTTATTCCCTTCTTTAGCGGCGTTCTGCTTCGGCTGTAAATTTTCAGGGAAAGGGTGTGGTACCCTGTCAATTCTGCAGTGTATCATTTTCAACTAACACAAATTTGAATAAGCATATAAGGGCTTTCCATCCTGGACTCGTTAAATGCGACATCTGCGACCAGCCGGTAACTATCATTTGGCCGTTGCGTGATACAGATATGCAATTTCAACAAATTGTTAAATTTAGGCTAGAAACTCACTTCGAACAAATAAAAGCCGAATTGAATTAGCCTAGCATACCGAATAAACAAGAATTCATATGGACTATTTGATTGGCTGAAATAATAAAACCACTATTAGTATTTATCTGCGAGTATTATATGCAATTAGAGCAATTGAATTTTTATCACTAACTTTTTAGAAGAGTCGAAATGACACTAGACATGTTTCAGGATTGTATATATATTATTTAGTATGCTAAGTTTTACAAACGACGAAGAAATTGTTTATGAAAGTTTATTAAACTATTTATCAATCAGTTTAATATTAATTCTACACGTAAAGTGTTGCGAATACAAGGCTGTCTAGATGATGCGGAAATACGATGATTTCGTTGTTTGCGATCAACGTATTTTATAGTCATAAGTCTATATGTGACAAATATGATCATTTGCGAATTCAAACCGAATGTTACTATACAAGATCTAATAATTCTTGACAAGAGAACGATCTGTCGAAGAATTCGAAGTAATTGACAGCTATTTCAGTTGTATGATCTTTTTCAGGTACTGACTGACGTTGAACAGCACCTAAATAAAGTGCACAATCTGACACTAAAATACAGCAAGCTTATTTTTAAAAGTGAAGTCGGTGAGAACCTTTCTTGTCACGTTTAGCGATTTGAATAGCGATTTGAAAATGCCTATTGCCCGCCTATTTGACTAACTCTCGACCTTTTTATGGTAAATACTGCTGCAATAAATTGGTTTATCGCTTCAGATATTGTAACACGTGTGTCGGTTGTCGTGAACCCGATTTATGAGCGTCTTGGCTTTCATGTACCGCCGCCTATGTGTTTCAAATTTCCATATTCAATTTCTCTTCAGATTTTCAGCTGTGGAAAGTAGAGGAAGAAAAACGCTCCGGATCTCAGTATGTATCAACTTCGGGAACAAAAAAAACACCCGCCTGTGTAGCTAAACGATATTTTATTTGTCACCGATCCGGCAAATTCCAATCACACAGCAAGGTATGCGAATGTTGACTTGCCGTTATTGAACAACTGAAACTGCTTTCAGAAGTCATAAACTGATATGCTATACAAATGAAAGGAAAATAGTCTGCTACGAAGTCACTTAACGGTAAATGCTTTGAAACTGGGTATCATATCATTAACAGATGTCGTCAACAAAAATAGCCGCAACTTTTTCTTTTCCATGCGGTTCTTAGGAGCTCAAATCTGGATATAATTACAGGGAACTTTTTTATGCCATTATATATGAATATAAAATATAATCCTGAGAGCCATATGGATCATTTCAACTACCACTAGGTGAAATAAACAAGTAAAGTAAGTTTTGGCGTTTTATTTGAATTTTTCAATAGCTTGATGCAACCTGGTGGTTCGTTTGCAGAATGTTGTTTCGCTAGTTTGTTACCATCCTATTATGTTTACTTGATCTTTCACATTTAAATATTAGTATCGAATGTCCGCAGTGTACTGTCAACATTCTGCAATTGTTTAATGCTTAATTTTAGTATATAAGCATGTCTTAAACCTGTCTGCTAAAAAAATTTCAGCTGCCAACACAAAAGCAGAAAAAACCGAGAGCCTCTGTTAGATGCGGTGTAAAATGTCCTGCCCGCATGACGTTGACGGTCGATCACTCAGGCAGATATCTCGTCGATTATCAAGAAGCTCATTATGGCCATACTCTAGACATTCAGTCAAATCAACAGATTGTTGACAAATCGCAAATGAGACGACGTCTCCGGCAGCAGTCAGCTCAGAATGAGAACAAAGGCTCTAAAAGTGGGCATGAAAATCAGAGCCAACAGCTAGATGGTTCTCACAGGGAAGAACGTCAGCAAGTAAACGCCACTTCAGTGTTAGCTATATCGGATAAAGCTTCCCCTCATAGGCTGGATTATCTCGAATCGCTTTGGGCCCTGCGAAACTCTGCGAGCTTTCAGGAGCTTAACTCTCAATTACATATGCACTTCGACAGGAAGAACGGTGTCGTGCTTATATCCGAGGTATAGGCGAATTGTTATACACACATAGTATAGTGTAATTTCTTTCCATGTTAAATTTACACATTTTATTCATGTTGTCGGGTAGTGGATTATAATAAAAACGAATTTGTTTGCTGTTGGACATGCTGTTTTTGTGCGAACGTTCTTCTTTGTTTTGGGTCGTGCTTTTATATTAGATGCTTCCGTACGTCGATGGCTATTTTCCAAGCACAGTAAACATTAGTAGTGTATACCCCTGTCTCTTGTTAGATTACCCTCATAGTGTACTTATACATCTGTCCTCAGTAAAAACAATTAAAATAAATAAATCTGTGTTCAACTATAATACATTCAAAAGCAATGTGGCAATATCACTAAATCGGTATTACTGTTGTCGATTCCACGACTGTGTCTGATTAATAACGATCAATAAAACAGGTCGGCATTGTAATATCATGCATCATGAGGCCATGCTTCTTAAGCTCGGTACTGTTCTACGAGACGCGCTTGCCCTCGATCTATGTGCGTGGTGTAGAACTTCTGCCTGAAACGTTCCAGGTTGGTGACATGCGCAGCGAAGAAGGCTTTTTTGGACTGCTGAACGCTGTTCTAAATGGGCCGAAATGTCCTGGTGCAGCAGATCAAACGGATGTTTTCTTCGACAATGCTAACGGGTAATTTAGCATTATCGTAATGTACACATTATTCGCATAACAAAAACTGCTCTTGGTCAGGAAGACGATATCGGTACGAGAAAAGGATTCAACAGTTAGGTTATGGAATGTATGGTTAATGGAAAACACTTATGATCTTTGATATTATGCCTCAATTCCGCAAAGAGCAGTGTTATATTTCTTTTAAAAAATAATATCGTCCACTTTAAAAAATCACACATCACAAGTGGTATGGCCCACTGTAACCGCTAATGATGCTGTATATTCGAAATGACTGTATAATGCGTGTATACAGTGATAATATTGCAGGGTTCAACCAAAAAAAGGTTTAAGATGGAAACAATTGTCAGTTCATATAACATGTTTTGCTTATTTCTTCTTTAATCAAGCTCAATTGACTGTTGCCTGTTATTGGATTTATTCATTTACAGATATCTTGATACAACATGCCGTTGGAGGCACGAGAATTGTCCAATTTTTAGTTCCGAAGGTCAGGAATGCGACGGATGTGCGTCGCTCAGGAAACTCCTTCAAGTAGCCAAGCAGAACTTGCATCAAAGGGATGGAAAGGGTAGCTCGTAGCAAACGCTTTTCTGCCTAGTGTCTCGTGTAAATATATAGAACCTTCAAAATAATCAGAGTTAAACAGTTTTAATAGAAACAAACTTATTCTACCGAGATTCGTCTCCACTACGTATGCTTTGATTGCACTAAAGGCCGTCCAGCTAAGGCTTACATTGCTTTCGAACCTTTTGTGAGCACTTCATTTATTTGCCTCTTTTGTGCCCGTATTTTCTGAAACCTGTTAGCACCAGTGCCCTTGACCGCAGTATTCTGCAAACTTGTCGGCGGTACGTTGAAGGAGGTATTTTTGCAAAATGGAATTATCGTTTTTTAGGTCTAATTGAGAATGGAATTAATTGAGATAAATATAGAAGTTACCGCCATATTCGCAAAATACATGAACCTGTATGTAAGTGTATATAGTTCATGGATGTTACACAGCTTAAGAAAAACCATTCTGCTTGTAGACAAGTGGCGCCTAAGTAAGTACAATAGAATAAACGAAATATTGAGAGCTGTGTAAAACCTACGTAGGGTTATGTTTTTTTAATCGTAGTAGCTAAATGTTAAACATAAGCAAGAGGTTACGAGATGCAGGAGTTTGCGAGAAGGAACTCATTTAGTATCCAGATGACAAGCGCTGGCCCTTAGCATATACACCTCGCTGGAATTTGCGAGGACTTTTGATATGCAGTTTCAAATTATCCGACAGTAGCTTAGCCTGTTGGAAGCAAAGTCCAGGTGAATTTCCCGAACAAAGGTAACAGCCTTTGTCCGGTCACTAAATTGTTTTAGCGTCATCCCACATGGGTTCTCAGGTAGACTTATATAAAACACTAATACCACTCAACTACCTTGAAGATTCTTTTATTGATACAGTATCAGATTTCTTGTCAGAATCATCATAATATTTACTTCCACCGTTATATATCATAGGTCTTCGTTGATAAGATCGACTTCACTAGTTTCTACTGTATGGGGCTCTCCGGCTTCGTGTAGTTTCTAGAACAAGCGCCATGCACATTATTGGGATAAGTTGGACCCGATCTGAACGCCTTTTCCCAATCAGCTTTTGAGCCATTAGTCTGTGCTCCTTTTCGAGGCTTCCAGTTTGGCCTTGCTCCTCTTAATGGCTTCCTCATGTAGCTTGATTTGCCTGCAACAAAAACCAGCATTGCATGCTAGAGTATTTGTCTAGAAAATGATTACAATCCATTAAAAAAAAAACGAAATATCGAGTTTCTGGTAAGTTTTGAAAGTTTAATACACTGAAATACTTACACCTCGTGTTGGCGGATCTCGTCTTCAAGGTGGTCATGAAGAGCAGCCAGTTGTTCAGCTTGTTTTTTCCTATTAAACCATTAAATTTAACATGACTTTGAGGAATTGATGAATACGTAAAATTGCGTAAGATGAAGATAAAACTAGGTCTTAAATAGAAAATAGAAAAGTCTTAAATAGAGAATACACATTCGTCTCTGACTGCTATCACGCACACTTGCAATGCATTATACTTGAAGTTGAAGTTGTAGGCGAGCAACTCACATAAACGACAAGGAGCCTTACAGTTATAAACTTGACTGAATAAATCATTTTGTTACCTGAAGTATTGTTCCTCCTGAACAGCTTCTCGTTTTCCCATTGCACCGCCAGCGTCGCGGATCGAACCGCCGGATCCTCCTCCCTAAAGTGTTAAATAACAACAACGGAACTATGATCAATTGTTCTCAGCAAATTATTTTCCATAATTTACGATTTATGGATTCTTATCTACAGACAAATAAGGAATAAGATCTGGATCTTTGGTTTGTGCCTATTCGTTTGTCTCTACGATCGCAGTTTTTTTTGAGACAACGGTTGTGAGAGAATGACATAGTAAATTGCAAACGCTAAAAACAATAAGATGTTAATACCAGTAGGCACAAAATGTATAAAACCGCTTGTTACTCAAATGTATTGATCTGGAAAGGAACCGTTTCGATCATAAAAAGCCAGTGGATGCTTACAATTTAGACGAAGAGTTATTAATTCACGAATCCGGAAGGTTTAAAAATTGAAGGTCATCAGAATTTGGCCGCATTCGGGCCAATTTACAGATAAAACAGGTGTCCTACGCTATGCTATAGTATACGTACCTGTATTCTGTTAACATCTTTGACTTTTTAAAATGTGAGCATTGTTTTTCATTTAAGACCTTCTTCTACCGAAAATATCACTGAATGTATTTAGCAACCGCAATGTCAATAAAACCTGGTTTCACCAACCTTTCCGGAACCGCTGCCAAATTCCCCAGCAAACGTGGCCATTGCACGGACCGTTCCACTGAAACGATTATGTTTTGACTAATTATACTGGTTAGAACTATTGTCTTCTTTTGTAAAATTAGGCTACGACTACAAATCTGGGTTATCAATGAACGGCAAATTAAACAGTTAACCTTATGTGTGCTTTAGAAATAGGGGGAGAGCATGTATTATCTGCGCGACCTCTACTGGTTTGCTGCTTGACGGCTTTAAAAAGAATACACACAAAGTTGAGTCAAATGGCACCGACGTGATTGGGTCGAATAAATTCTTGAAAAAAATGAGGCTCAATGTCGTCAAATACTCACGCCCTGTGAATGCCCGTGGTAACTAAAAACTTAACGAAATCGTTGACTTTCAAAGAGGCCATTGTTTTACAAACTGTGCCAGAGAGTCTACTGCTATGATGATTGTTTTCATCAAGATTTCGCGCAATAATACAAAGAGCTAAGGTGATGGATTCTAATCGACGGAACGAAGAACGTTTCGACCATTTTTGCGCATGGCGGTTCCACTTGAATCTCAATTACTAGATTTTTTTATATATTCGGACATGGAAAAAGGTTAGGTTCTTGCATGTTAATTTATTCCAAAGTGATAAAACCAAGAGGTTTTGTAGCGTATTGTATATAATGATGTTGTCATCAATCGAGGAATGCGGAAACGTTTGCCTGTGCAGATGCGTATCCTGAACAAAAAATTGTAGCAAAACTTTACAATTGCGCGCATCAGCTTTGCATAAACGTGAGAATAAGTAGGACATGTTCAGGACAGACAGCAATTATATCTATAATTCGCTTATGCGCACGCTTTCACGCTATTCTGCTTCAACAAGGAGCACAGATTAGATGTTTCCTTTAGAGGAAGTTTATACTCTACGTGCATTTAAACCGTTCCGGATTCGTTGAGAGCACCGACTACTCTATCGTTAGCTGTCGTTATCTTGAGAACATATCAGGAGTTTATACTACGACTACAAATATCCAAACCTACGAAGATTTTCAGAGCGCATCAAAGTCTATTGGGTGGACTTGCCCTTTACTATTAACTGTTAGCTTTTGGTAATAGGTCAAGCATAGTTTGTTCGGCTGTACATTTTGCCTGCGCAATCACCATCATACTGTCTAATAATAATTTCCAATGTGCAATCTATCGTGAACCTAAGCTGTTTGATTTTAAACTGGATGTGGTTTTTCACAGTAAGCGTTTAATGAGAATGTAAAATAAAAAGTTTACTTTACAAAAAGTGCACATCTTTGTATCAGTAGCTTAGAACCTGCTACTGAGTGAGAAAAGTACATATATATATGAGTAAGCCTACATTAAAGATGAAACTAAATGGGGAGATGAACTAAAATATCCAGTTTTCGTACAGGTTTCTTGAGTAAAGTCCAGTTGGTTAACGAATCACCTCTAGACTTTCGTAGAAATAAAATAAGCCCTCGGCCTAATTCCTTCCAACATAAAACGGAACTAATAAACTAATTTATTTACTCTGGTTGGTTTAATCTGCGCTTTTCAATAATAGATAGATTGATCTGTTTTATGGAAATCAGTGTTATGTGACACTTATGGTTATCCTGCAACTTCCTGAATTTTAACTGAATTTTTAAGCATATAGAAGTACGAACATGGTAATTTGTGCTCAGTTTGCTCAACAGGTGTTTGAAAGTTGATATTTATAAGCTTGTAGGTTATATTGACGGCCGGTTATCACTTTAAAATTTAAAAAATCGAAAAGCTTTGCTTAGGATTGGCTTTATATGTGGCGCAAATAGGGGAAAGTCTAGATGAAAAAGATCTGAACAATGACTTTTACGCCCTAGATGTCGTATGCATTTTCCTTTAGAGACCTATTAGGTTGGGAGGAGATATTTTTTGTTTTTTTAAAGAACTTTTCAAAAATTGAGCTTCTAGGTCTGAATTGTACGGTGTTGTGTTATAGGTGCAATTTCAACTCGAAGGAACTGATCAAATGTGGATGTTCCAGGTGAGAAAGGATGACCTTTTGACAGCTTTTGTTTTATGCATTTCGTGCAAACGAAAACATAGCCGACACAGCCCAGAACATTCGCTTTGTGTACGCTAACCATAGTTTCGCTAAACGTATTATTCTAGAGTGGTTTGCTAAGTCTGATAACGGCATCGGTAACGCAGAATACGTCCTTTTTTTAGCTCATTGTCTGAGTTCGATGATTTGAAGGCACTCTTGAAGGAAGATATTCGATAAACAACTCGGGAATTGGCTCAAAAAATAGATTCCGGCCACATGACTGACGTTAACTACCCCGAGCCTGTACCTAGCAAAAAATGACGGTTTAGCGTTGCATTTTAATAAATCGCTCAGTATCGAGCATCACATAGCTACAACGACTAATTTTTGCACAGGGTCTTCACTGATGAGAAAAAGCTTTTGAAAAACTTCTTCGAGACAAAATCACTATTTTATGGCGAGGCGGCAAACATCATTTAAACGAACTCTAGGAAGAAATCATCAACGATGACGGGGATTAACTTATTGTCACAAGGATAAAAATATATAGCATTTTTTACTCAAAAAACGCCGGAACTGCCTTTGCAATATAGTAGATAAACATGCTCTCTTTTTAAAAAGAAGTAAGCTCTGTATTCAGATTCTACAGATCAAAGTCGTGCCTTTAAACTGAACCTTATCTGCCAATAATTAGTTCCCATATTTAGCTGATCCTTTGATTTCAGCGAAGCGAATTATAGTTAAATAGTAATGTACAAAAAATGTATCTGTACTAGGCAGGTGGATTATTGGTGAACTAAAACGCAGGAAGTGTCAATGATTAAATGTACTAGGTCTTTCTTACTGATTTTCCATGAAAAAGTTGACATTTCTTATTACACCTAGGCCTTCGAAGAAAGAACCTCATTTCCTAGTTATCATTTTTATTTTATTACTATTACCATAGTAATACGCACACGTACGCAGGCTTCTGTACTTTGTTCTAGTTCTAACTTGAATTATGCGCTTTTATTGCATAAAACCCTTTTGCGCAGTCCGTCATCCCCTTCGTCTTTTTGTGAACACTCTGCCACCACTGTTAATGCCACTGACGTGTTGAAATGCACGTGCAGGTATGTATCGTTCTGCGCGTACGAGATGCGCTAACGTCGTAGTGGTCTCAAAGAATAATTTCACTTTTCTCTCAAAAACGAAGCGCCCATGGATTGGAACAGGGAACCAGTACCTTCATGTAGCACACAAGACGACATAATTTGGATACGATATCAGCGGACACGCTGACGAATAACGTAAACATATGAGAACAGGCACTGACGCGTGACATATTCGTCCACATGATAATAACGCCCTACCTAGCAATAAGTAAAATAGTACCAGGAACGAGAAAAGTACCAAATCCTTGATTTGCTTTCTTTTCGCGTCCTTATGCGAGTCCAAAGCGCGAAAGAGCAGAACTAACAGGCCTGCAGTCAAGCCAACTGACGGCCCGCGAATGGAAACAGTGGACCTAGCGATGTAATCCACATAAAAAAGGATTATTACGCCGGACGCTGTCGATGACCAGACGGAAAAAACGACGACGAAGAGAACGAACGCAAAGTATAATTTGCCAAGCTTTGCTCACCTCGTCTTTAGACACACAGAGAGACAGAAGGAGAGAAACAATTCAAATTCCCGAAAGAGAAGTCATTTTTTCCAGCTGCACCCTGTTGTGGATGTCGTGCTTCCCTGAGAAAGGTCGTTGTAGAGAAGGTGCACGCAAGTCCGACTCCTCCTTTTTTTGTCAGGTGCCTTATGTGACAGGAGAAATGACTACGAAAGGGAACTGAGGTCCCTGAAAGAAGAAGATCGAAATAGGGCAAAAAAGCTCCGAATAAATCTATGTTTGAAACTGAGAGATTCTTAGTTTAGAGAATATATCTCACTAACTTAGTAAGAACCAATGCGGCTCGAAATTCACAGGAAGGCTTCAGATTCGACATGCATTAGCAGTATTTCGATTGCAATAGTAATGGTGAATAATTGTTTATTAAAATTCTAACGTAATTTCGCAACGAATCCTACTACTAAAAAGATTTAGAGACAAAACTGGATGTTACGGCAGTGCCTTAGCTCGTCCCTGAATTGATGTTGAAGCTAGCAATAGGCCGTGTATGTAAATACTTGAAACAAAACAATTGGTGCTTCTTTCAAGGTTCCTTCCTGCTATTCGACAGCACGCACCGATCGTTGGATATGTAGCGATTCATTAAAGCATTACCACCGAATTGTTATTACGCGGAATATCGACGTCAGAATACACTACTAAAGTAGCTACGTACTGTAAAGTGTAGACCTTACTTATGACAATACTCACTCGACAGCTTAAGCTGTGCTCGCCATCAGTAGATGATGAAGGCTGTGCAAAATTCGCTCATATAGCATGAGGAAAGATAGATTTAACGTCTGTCTTTTTTGTGCTTTTAGTTGTTGGTGTTAGTCTCGTTAACGAACTAACTGCCTGGCGCTGACAGTGAAAAGACGCTAAGAATGAGTATTATCAGGGGTAGTTAGTCGTTAGGTAGGAAACCGGGCCACTCCTAAAGGCGACGGTTGACAACCCAGCCAAGTGTACCATCCACCGGCAGCGAGCATCGTCGACTCGAATTCGAACGAAGCTCAACCAATCCCAGGCAAACAAACAAAGGCCTCTCTTTGCCTAAGTTGGGTTTGAAAGAGCAAGATGAGGAAAAAGGAAGGAAAATCGGGGGATCAAATATTTGCCAATGTTCCTCCTCAACGTTGACCTGTCCTACCCTGCTGGCCGCTTGTTTCGCCGTTTCGCTGCACCGTCCAAAGCAAGAGTTGAAGGGGTAAAGGTTTTCTGACCGCTGTTTTCTTCCTGTTACCCATTGTACTGTTCGATGTTGCCCCGTGTCGTCGGCAACCACGGCATCTTTATGACGATGCTGTGGCTACCGCTTGGTCTCAATTTCATTTCAGCTGCATTTCGCCAACCAATCAGTCTGCATCTGACCTTCTCGACCGAAACCAAGGCAGCCCACTCAGATAGTCTCGTTCTAAAACTAGGGGCAGGTTTGCTTGTTCCCCTTCTGGTAGTGGCAAGGGGTGGGGGAAAAGGCGTAGAGAAACTCGATAGAACTTGCCTGTTAGGTCGCGATGGTGGTGCAGTGCAGAAATGTAACCAAGACGCTACCAGATCTAGTTTGTGAGGTCTAGTCGACAAAGCTCATCACGGAGAGGTCTATCCCGTTTAAGCAAGAAACCTGGGTAAGGACAAAAAACAAAGAAAGCCGAAGTGACAGCAAAGCGGATAGAGTATAAAAGAGAGAAATGGTACGAGAAACGTGAAGGCGGGAAGGATCAGGTCGTAAGAGTGCAAGATAAATATAGTAAGGTAGCAAGCAACCACCGGTTCTACCTTT